AACCAGATTGCTATTATAACTAGATACTTCTAGATCTTGACCTTTGAGCTAACATTACACCGCGATGAGACCGGTTGCGGAATTAATGCATTTAAACGCAAACAATAAAAAACTACATTACCTCGTTGGTTATTACTATTAAATAACTTGCAGACGCTGGTTCCGTCTATTATTATGACAGCTACACACGTAACGCTCTATTGGGACAGGTAGAATTTTTTTAAAGGGTAAGCTTAAAAGGAATTTAGCCGTTGTATTAGAATTGCCCCTACCACTACCACTATCACGTCTTAGTATGTATGGTAGGTTTACACATGCAAAAATCTGATAGCAATTATATAACTGTCTCTAACAGAGATGACAGTATTTCAAATCGGTGAAACACACGTTATAGGTGTACAAAACTTGTGAGAAATACTCGCGTGCATAGCCACTATCACCTAAGTATTAATGACGTTTAAAACATTACTGAGAAATGTTGGAACATTTCCGAGTAGAATTAATTGCAGTTTGAACACGAGCATGCTTTAACAATATTGATTTTTAATGTTAGCCTGCTCTCATACAAAACAAATACTGCTTGTTTTAATTGCTTTAAACTCGGCTTCGAACGCATACATAATTAATAGATATTCGAATTTAAACTATTTATCTTGTATGCTATGTCTCTTTTAACTTTACAGGATTGCTAACAAAATTATATAAGAGATACGTTTTCAACCCTTATGAAAAAACAGTAATAAATGCCATAAGTAACACTAAATAAGGCTGTACAATACAAGACATTTATAGAATACTCGAAGCAATAAAATGACTATTCTATCGAAATCCTGTATGCATTTGAACATCGTGCGGTACTTCGCAGTTTACACTTGCATTGAAAGTTTATACATTGGAAACAATTTTATAATTAAACAATGTCACCTTGAAACATTGACGCACGCCAAACATATGTAAATTTTTAAATCTACTTTATAAATTTCCGCTAAGAATAAAGTCTATCTAAAAAAATACAGGATTTTTCATAAAGCGCGTATGACAAAGATCAGATAGACACTCATCAAGACAGATTTTTTTAAAACAAATATTTTGATATTTATAATACCGTTTCGAGCAATCGACAGTAGCCAGTACTTACGAGTCAAATAACGGTCCACGGTCCAACAGTGATGATTACAAAGATTCACGCTCCGCGACTATCTAGGACAATCATTTAGACGCGCCTTAGTATAATTTTGCAAAGTAATTTGCGTAAACCGTAAACATGATTACAGCAAAGTATATCACTTGATCGTAAGATCAAATAATTTTCTATAAAGGAAAAAACCAGTAAAAACATAAATAGTTCTGTAATTATTGAAATAAATCAAAAACTACTGGGCCGATTATAATTAAAAAAGTACGGTATTTCACTATTTCTTAATTTCATATGGACGAAGTCGCGATGAGCTAGATGTTTAAAAAAGTGTTTATTTGGAACGGGTAAGAATTTTTCACCCGACGGACTAGAAGGCAATCGCGCTTATGTAATTCCATTGGGGTCTTGTGGCAAACAGTATTGAAACTATCCTCGCGAGAGTGGTGTCATTAGATTCGTGATTTTCATCGAACAGCTAGTCGGATTTATTGATTTTAATTAGTTATTCTGAGCGTAACATTGGCTGAAGTTCAAGATCACGCAGCGCATCCCAACACTGTTCACGTCAGGTGCAACTGCAACATGATTACGTTCATTGCCAACGCGACCAGTAATGGATTACACGCGCCAACAATCTGTCGATTTATTACAGGGGCCGATAACATTTTATGTGTTTTCGTACATTACATTACCACTATTTACAACTCAATTGATTTTCTAACTTAAGTATACAAAATAAAACTCAAAATGAAAGGAAATACATAATTAACTATTTTGTGAATTCGAACATTAATGAGCAAGGGTATGCAGCACGAGATTTAGATTCCCTTTCTAGATATAGGCCTTCTGCAGAGAACGAGACCGGGCGCTAAAGTATGTTAATTGTAAATTTTACTATAATCGAAAGTTTCAGTATAAGTTTTTAATTATTTTTATAGACATAAATCACATAGAAATAAACTTTAATAAAAGCATTGTATTATCGAGATTATGAAAGCACGCTATATTAAACGCACGAGTAAACTATTATGTAATGCTCGAAAGAAATATGATTAAAAATGTACAGCAATATTATTTTTTTCAAAGAAGTCTTACACAAAGACTTCGCTCCGAGAAATCAATAATGCAGGCCACACACGTTAGTTTTTGCATAGCGGTTGTAACAACATAACAAGCAAACCCAAAAATGTGTAAAAAGACTGTAACAGCTACTATAAAACTCAATATCAATTATTGTCTGCAATGTTAAAAATGATAAAAACCTAACGTGTGTTACTATAATGGCGCAGATCGTGATGCGAAAATCATAGAATCGGAAGGAATGCGCAATAACGCTAGCCCTTGTACGCTAACCCGGTTACGTTTATGACCTTGATCGGGTCCAATGACACCGGCCTCTAGAAATATAGATTAATTGATGGGAGGAAAATCACACGTAGCAGAGATACAAAGAAGTAATATGTGTTAGGTTAACCGTGTTTATATTATCAACTGTCGCACTGCTTACTGGAGGCCTAATTTTAGTTCACTTTCATTTCCATATTTTCGGACATGGGAAACATGGGAAAAAGAAAGTGGATTTACAAGAGTGAGACATACATAAGTAAGGGAAATATTATCTTTCTTTGCTTCCCCTCCACTGTTAATAAAACGTAGGCAAGGCATCTGCAGATACGTGTGTCTATGGGCAACGATCGCTTCGGTCGGTCGTAACTTTATAGTATAAAAAAATTTTAATTGTATATACCACATCTACCTAAGGATTAGACTTATTTTAAACAAGTTTAAAAAATTAATAACGGTTATGCCTTTATATACAAAAAAATGAATATTTTTGAGTAAGTCGAATTTACAAAAACCGGCTTTTAATCATATCTGAGAAACGTATTCACCGTGATCCCATTTATTTAAACCAGGTAACCTTAATTGGTAACGATTTCTTTGGAAAATATGGTTAAAATAATTAAATTAATAAAAGAAACAAATTCAATACCCGTAAATATTCTGACTATTAAGCCACTTATAAATCACTTATGAGAGGATTTCATAAAAATAAATATCGTACAATAAGCAATCAAGCATTCCACTTTTAATTTAATAATCGTTTCGTTGTGTACACAGCAAATAACATAAGCGTATATCACACAATGGGTAAAGTGTATATTTGATGTTATCAAAACATCTCATCATCATCTTCCGCCATATCCTACTCCCGTATGGTCGGCGCAACAGGTTTTGTCCTCCACATAACTCTATCATACGTCATCTCAGTCATCACTCCCTTCTTAATTATGTCACCTTTCACGCAAAACAAAAAGTTATGTTATCAAAACATCAATAGCACTCAAATAGAAGAAGCGAAGTTTAAGTTCTTTCCGAGATGCAAGACAATTTTTTCTGTGGGATACCGCGAACGTAGTTAACTGTACTCATAAGAAACACCATGACTAATCAAATCCAAAAGAGTCGGTGTGATGATTCAGACACTCCTCGTACAAGTTTTAACGTGCAAGCGCATGTGGTAGATGTGTTTTAGGACATGTGTTGAAGATGAGTAACCAACGGGCTAACATACGTATTAGTGCTCTTTTATATTATAAGGTGGCAAACGAGAAAGCAGCCACCTGAAACCGCCGAAATAGCGAAGCGACCAATGCCCGTAGACATCCGCAATTCAGATGCGTTGCCTACCCTTAATCGACGGAGGAGACGCACATACAGAGGATATTTTCCCTTCCTATGCGTCTCCTCCACGGTCAAATCCACTTTTCCACTTGCCGCATGTCTTATGTGTGGTGGTGTTATTTCACCGGGCAAGTCGGCCCATTCATGCAAAGATCTTAAAGCGGGCTCTATAACAGTTAAGGTAACGCTACCTTTTTAGAGACCTTATGACGTCAAATGCTCCTTTTAACCGTAGAATTTCACTGCCCCGACTGGTATATATTATGGCCCTTTCTTTCTTTTAGACGAAACAGAGCAAATTATATGTCTGTATGTCACGGCAGTTCATTTTTCGGTAATAGTAGACTATTAAATGGATTACCCATCGCAAATTGACTGGAATTTTGTCTAATGCCATGTCATTAAGCCTCGAAAATAGTCATAAAGGAATCCGTCACACGCTATTACAATTCCTATTAAATTAGTCGGAGGTAAAAAAATACTATTCCAGTATTTATATAAAGTTTTTACATACAAACCAAACATCAACGCATGTATTTTCTTTTTGTATGTTGTCATTTAATGAGAAGAGTCGCTGTTAGAATACAAGTATTCATTAAAATTGACATTTGCGTGTCCAATGTGTACTATGCATCCAACAAGGGTAGATGCAATCATCGTTGACTCACTGGTCAAGGGAAATCCACACACAGTCATAAAACATATCTCAGCCATAATCACGCGGAAATATTTAAATTAAAGTGAACACCTTTTTGACATTAAAAAAAATAAACAACAACCGAATGTAGTGAATAGGATTGACTTCTAAGAATTAATCGTAAAAAAATATCAACTTTACCTACCACAGTTGGTTGGGGTTTCCGTTACAAACACCAATAAATACATACATCCCTAATTTTTTGGTAAAACTAAAAATTAGGTGTGTATGGGGAATAACCATTTATAATATGAATCATGTTCTAAGAACATTTCAATCATAGTTCCAATGTTTTACCGTTCCCAGACTTAACATAAGCAAGGGCTACCTCTTTAGGCTTAGACGCATACTCAGGCTACCAGTTTAACATCAGTCTTAGAGTCAAAGTGAGTCCGCATCACTAAAGATCATAGGCATTTGTTGTTAATTTTCAGTTATCTAAGGTAAATTGACAGCCCTATTGTCAACAAATCCACTTACCCAAGTATAACAAGTTCTCCATATTTGACGAGTGGCTTTGGTTTCTGTTCGGAGCCGCTCTCACCGGCCTCCTCCAGAATAGGTGAGTCCGCACTGTCCGCAGCACTGCAAACAAAGGAAACACAAGAATTAAACTATTGTTTAACACCAAAAGCAATACGGTTGTAGAAAACATCTGAATTTCTATACCTTAAATGCTAACCCGTAAATATTTTATTTGAATAAAATAATATTCTGTGCGTCTTAAAATGGTTAAATCAGATTTAAACAATTCTTTTACTTTCTTACTGTAGCATTGACTACATTAAATAAAAGAAAAATATATACAGAGTAATAAAACAGTAAAGGCAATCATTTTAGTCTGTGTGAGAAAGGTACTTTGGGGTCGCACCCTTGAGTCTTCTCCCCACAACAGAGGTCATAAATTCACTCCTGCATTGAACAGATACCGGGGTTCACATCGCAATAAATATAATTCATTAAAAACGAAATGCGATAGTGAATTATACTCTAATTTGATTAAATTTAATGATTTTTATCACATTTATTATTAAATGTGAGTTACGAGAAATAAGGGCAACGATATCAACACAATGAATGTCAAATAAAAAAACATACAAGAAAGTCGATTATAATGAGAATACGGAAAAGAAGGATTTATTGATTTTATAGCCTAACCACATATTGAAAATCTTGACTTGGGACGTGTCAATCGCTATTTTTTGTTACATCACTTTCTTGTGCAATGCGCCATGTATTCAAGGAATTATTTCCGTAATTTCCCGAAATATGGCGAAGGTTTTTATACTCCTATTAAGGAAATACAATCAGATTTTTTTGTAATATGAATATACTAAATCCCTTATAGAAGCTGCCTTTGTCTCGAAAGAAAAATGTAAACCATTACTACAATTACGTCGTGATATAACAAAAATTCCATATAGTACGTGATTTAATTTCAAAGGGCGCAAACATTACCAAATAAAAAGGTACAAGATAAAAGATAATAAACAATAGTAGAGCGAGTTGATTTCATGATAATCCACGCCCACGAACACCCACCAATTTCCGGAGATAGGAGCCAATCTTCACATCTACGGTCAAAACTGAGAAAGGAAAATGTATAGTGGCGGACAGCTGTGGGTCAAGATTACCGGAGTAAGTTATGAGCAGTCGACAAAACCGGTTTGAGGCCGATGCACCGACACTTACGTAAGCCCACTGAAACGATGCGGTCAACTTCTTACAACCTACATGTAGACAGTACTTCTAATTTTCAATACCCACTATGTTTTATAGTTTTCACATTGATAGTTAACTTTATCTGCCCTTTGTGGCTAGATTTGTCAAAACTTGTATCGCTAATGTTTCATCGCTTATCAAAATCGCTATATAAAAAGACAAGTGCAAAATTCCTCATTCAATAATCTAAATAAAAAGTACAAAATCCAAATCCTGTTTAAGGAAAATCCCACGAAAATCATCCGGTTCAAAGGTGCGCTGTTAGTAGAATTATTTCCTTAACAGACGTCAAATGTACAAAATAAAAATGCGAAGCGCGTCTAAAAAATATTAATATTGACTCGCAACATTCAACCCATTCCAAATAATTTTAATTTTTAATAGAGAATGGAATTAGATTTGTTATAACTATTTGCGCGAGAGGCATATTTCGCCATGTTGATCAAGTGTTGGTAATATTCAAGTCATCATCATCCACTTGCCCTTATCCCTGACGGAGGGTCAGCAGAGTATGTACTGCTCTTCCATACATCTCTGTCAGCCGTCATATCTGAATCCACTACTTTCTTAAGCATATTCTCTTTTACACAATCCATCCATACTTTCTTCGGTCTTCCTCTTTCTTTGTAGCCATCCACATTCAATCTTAACACTTTCTGGTTAATGTCCCCATCGTTTCGTTGTTAACATTCAAGTCATCAAGTATTAAATGGCAATAAAATCTCAACAATCGTGACTATAATGAAACAAGAAAGCTGTTTGATGGTACTTTCGGTTACAATTGGAACAGTTTGTTTAGCACGATATCGATCGCAATGGCGATAGCTTATCTTTAGCTATTACTGCGCTCTGCAAAGGGGTAAGTAGGTCGCTTATGCCCTAAACATACAATACGAGCGTTATCAGCTAAGCTCTAAGTGGTCAGTGCCTGACACGAATTGCCTAACCCGCTTTGTCACATCCGAAATAGGATTCTTCTAGAACAAAATGTGTACTCCTGACATGTGGATAATCCCAAGGGTTCTCGCGGAAGTATAGCGCTTGGTACTTCAACGAGAAGCACCCAGCATTCAAAGATGAGCTAGGATCCAATTCGGTCAGCATTGGAATGCTCATTTAGATATTACTTTATCCTTTAATTAATTAAATAAAAAAATAATTGTAGTGTTGATAATAATTAAATGTTATTTTATTTTTTATTTTACTAATCCTAACGTTAGCGTTCAGCATGACATCATGGTTACCATAGAACTGTGTAACAAAAACATTTAATTTAAACTGAAAAATGATAAATCCCCTGTTCCATGTAATATGAGTCGCATTACGGTAAAAAAAGACGTTAGAGTGAATTAATTGTTCATTAAGGAATTCTTTAATAGTACATTCTGAGTAGTACGCAAGTTAAATTAACAGTTATACGCTGTCCTTCCAACTTACAAAAAAAAAACTTTTAACAACTGAAGATTGAAGATGCCGCATACATCTTTAAAACATTTATAATTACCAACTAAGAAAGTTGTTAGCCCACGGCTATCTATTATTCCTTTTTGAAATAAACTTATCTTTCAAAGAAATCACACTTCGGGATTATATTTCATAAATGATATATTGCAGGACAGGGGTGGCGAACCAATGGCACGCGGTACAATAATTTAGTCTTTTCACTCATTACAAAATTATTATGCACTACGAAAACAGTATGAATTAGGTATTTCATGAGGATAGAACAAAGGGATCCCTAAAGCGTGTGCTCGATAATGACAAAATCAGAATTATTTCATGGCACGTTATAACCGCATTAAACATTTCATTTGATAAATGACACGCTGATACGTGAAATTTCACTACCCCATAGTGTCATCGGGGTCATAACCTCCATTAGCTGATAACTCACTAAGGAAAACACCTTGTGAATCCGTCCAGTTCTCTGAATGAGAAATTATAATTTACCAATTGTAAATCCCCGAATACTTTTATATCACACTACGGGAGATTTTGGGTTTACGTAATTTTGTTCTTCAATATAAAATTTTACTCGTATAACTTTTGTATCGAGATTTTTTTTGTCTAATGATTTACAATTTATGATAATGCGATGACATTGGGTCTAATCTCTATGACCTATTTACCTAGAGCTTACGTGTTAACCAAGGGATGAACTAAACAATACTGACCTAAACTATGGTAATCTTTAGGAGAAATACTAGCAAAATAGTCCGATTGGTGCTATGTATTAATTAATCCCATATCTATGAGATTGAAAAAAAAAAACAAAAAGACTATTGTATTATATAAATCCTATACCGTGTCCGTGCATGTCTCAATGCAATTATTCGTTCCCGGTCTAGGCTCCGTCTACCGGTACATTTTAATTTCGCCGAGATTGCTTCACACGATACCGATCTGAATTAACTCGTACGCTTCACCCGATAGTCGGTTCCACGAATTACTACGGATAGATGAATCAGACATTCATATCGAGTGCAAAGACGTAACATGACGACGGTAAAAGGCTACTCCGTGTCCGGTCCACTGACGCCGACGACGGAAGTTTAAGTCACACCTACGTGGCCAGAATTCTATTGACTCATATCTGCGAGGCGATAGTTTATTCACATATTGCAGTGATTTATGGTTAAAATTGATAAGGGTACATTCTTTTATACGATATGAGTGCAGTGCAGACAGTGCTAAGATTAAACAATTTGAAACAGAACTCATGTAATTACAAGTTAAATACACTTGTATTCTGTTTGGTCGAGTTTGTTACTTTATGAAACTGTGATGTTAATTTAGAGGACAATCTATTCCAACATCAGAACATGTACTTCTAATTTAAGTGTACCTTTTATTGACTGTTGTAAAAAATTATGTCACAGTCCTTGTAACGATATCATCTCACAACGTGACCGAATTTATAAACTAGTCATTATTTATTTACATTATTCCACTACTGTCGAGAAAACCGCGGATATAGTAACGGAATTTTTCGGTACTTCATAAACATATTTTTAGCCTGCTAAACTGAATCTACAGAATCACCATAGCATAACAAAGGCTTTTTTTTCTTTATTTTTAATAGGGAATTTGGTTCTTTAGAACATGTCAGTCCCATAATGCCTTTTAAAAAATAAGTAAACCATATAAGTATTAACAAACATACAAAAAGAAAATGAAAAATAATAAAAAAAACAATAAAGAGTTCATATTTACAAATTATTAAGGCCTTTAATACCATGCTGCGTACTTCATCCAACAAAGGCTTAACATAGTGTAAGAATTTCTTTGTCTAAACGACAACTAAACATCTGAGATTCCGTATTTATTTATATTTCGTAATACCCATCACTAGAACAATACACAAACGTATAACGCTTGCGAGTCATTGTATAATACTGTTTCGTTAGTTTTACCTTAACCAGTTCACACGAAGGCAGAAAAATAAGGCTAAGCAACACGAGTTTTACGGAAAACGCAGAGACAGAAAAGCACAGTTTTGACAGTAGGCGTGCGTTCAAACAATACCAATACTTCACTGCCTACTACTCTACTTAACAGTTCCGCCCTCGTGTGAAACTAACGTAAGCTGGATTTAATTGCGAAATAGGCACACAACTAACAATACAACATAATACATATAATAGTGCAATTTTACCCCACTCCCCGCATCTCTCTCTCGTGTTTGTTCACTTTCGCCGTTCGCACGGTCACGATCTCGTTACAAGCAGCATTTGGATCCACGCGGTCACTTTCTACAGCCCGTATATATTTCTATTTGATGTCTTGTATACAGATCTCACGATTTAACCCAATTGAGGTAGGATTTCACCGACCTTTAAGTGCCTGTTGCAATATACCAGGCA